GCAGATGCTTATCTAAAATTCTATATGTTTTGGTAGCCACAATATATCTGATTTTAAAAAGAGCTTCCAATAAACCAAAAATACTGTTTTATTAAACACACACACACACACACACACACACACACACACACACACACACACACACAAATATATCCTTGGGTTCTCTTAATCAGCATAGCTCCTGTTCATCTAATGGGGCAATACCAACTTATACTAGCTATGGATTTGGCCCAAGTAATTTTGCTTCAAAGTTGACATTATTTTTGTTTTTTCCCCCCCCATCTGCTTTTTTCAATAACAAAGTCTGGTTTTGAGTTAATTTATGCCAGAATCTTTTATGATTATCTTTATGCCTTTGCTCATCAATGACTAGGAGGAAAAAATGCTGATTAATCAAGAGTTATTGACTGGCAGTACTCTTCAATACCTCACAGATGTCTGCAAAACAATTTCCTCCAATCGCAAAAGAAAGAAAGAAAGAAAAAAAAAAATCAATAAAAATCAATGTGAAAATCTAGTAATTAAATTTATCAACTCCATATCAATAAATCTGGTGCTTTATGAAAGTATTATGTGAAGTTTGTTCTTTTAAGGGATGTATTGATTGAGGGCAAAGAGCCAAATATTTCTATTATTAGATCTGTGAATGCTAGATTAGACCAGCATGTTTAAAACAACATACAAGTGTTTCACAAACATAGTTCTTGTGCTGATTTTGTATGATTAAAGCCACTCTAAACAAGCAAATTAGCTGATTAATTGATTATTAAGGCTGCAAGATCAGTAATTATAGCCAACACTTCTTATATGCATACATGGGGCCAAACTTACTCCTCACAGAAACCATCATTTTCATCTAGACACATTTTAACACACACACATAGAGCATGTTGCCAAAAGTGGATCTTTAACTATTCTCATGTACCCTAGAGCAGTCCAAATTAGATTCTGCAATTCAAGCCTTGCCACCTGGAAATACGCATAATGAAATGTTTGATAATTGTACTGTTATCTGTAAGCTGAACAAAGAAACATGAGGATGATTGCAACTGTGTAGAAATACTAATAAGAACCAACATAAGTGACAACAATAATAAGAGACAACATTTACAGTAAAAATGTTAAAAGTGTATGCTGAAATGCATTTTAGTTGAAGTAGATCACCATATATATAACGTTAGAAGTAGTCAAAGAAAAGTTCATGAAGTTTCATTTTTATTAATTAGTAGTCTTAAAAAAAAATGCAACTGTTCCTTCTATACCAAGAGAAAACAAGATTAAAACTCTTTCCACTGTATTCAAAAGTGAGTCTATAAATGACTTTTTCGCTGACACTTGTGTGATCAAAATATTAGTAATAAAATCCTTCTATGCTTCTACATTGAAGACAGCAGGCATTTATTTTCACAGATGTTCCCATGTATAATATCAACAGCTTGATCCCATACTGTAAATATCTGGGGGGGGGGGGCAGGACAAAACATAACAAAACAAAAAAACCCTCTCACAGGTACACCCGTTTTGTGTAGGAATCACATCCTGCCACAAACATCAAATAACAATGAGGCTCTATTACCATGCTATGATTCCTTCCTTTCAAAGATTATTAATTAGCAAGTATAGCACTCACCAAAACTCCCACCACGCTTCTGTTTGCTGCCTATTTGTAGCTGGAGCTATATGGAATATCAAGCTACCATAAGCAGCATTAGTCTCACTTATGACAGTGGGGGGGGGGGGGGGG